CGTGATCCTCCTGCCTCAGCCTCCCAAGCCGCTGGGATGACAGGCGTGTGCCACCGTGTCCAGTTCTCCTTGGAATTTTTGTACACATCTTCAGGGCTTTGATATTCCCTTTTTCTTCCCCAAATGTAGACCCAGAAAATAAATATGAATCATTACAACATTATAGAAAAGTTACTATATTGTAGCTAAATTCATGGCATAAACGTAATCATGCCTGACATCTTTACCCAAATGTTACCTTTCCATATTCCATATATTGGAGTAGCCCTGATGAGAAAGAACACGTGTCTGATTGACAAAAGGAATCATACCATCCTTGCCTATAGAACCCACATTCCGAAGACAAATCTTATTGTCTCATTGAATGTTTGCAATATTCTGACCCACTAACCAAAGGAAGCTTGTAAAACATTATAACAACTCTTGTCATAACTTGTTCCTTATGGAATCCAGTGCATGCTCTGTGATTGCACTGAGACAGTATTTTGAAGCTTGTACATGATGTTTTATAGATCACCATTAATTCAATACTAAATAATATTCATTAAGAGCAATTCATATGGGGGATGCATAGGGAAGAGTGAAGGTACTCTGGATTGTGCAGAGGAGAGTTGGGGGAAGGGTAGGGCTGTGGGAATGGGAAGGATGGTGGAATGAGATGGACATTATTACTATATATATGTATATATATTATAAATATATATACATTTTATCTATTTATTTATTTATTTACACTACTGGTGTGACTCTGCACCAGGTACAACCAGAGGAATGAGAAATTGTGCTCCATTTGTGTACAATATGTCAAAATGCATTATACTGTCATGCATAACCAATTAGGACAAATTAAAAACAAAACAGAAGGGAGACCAGTAGAATAGAATAAGGGGATCAGGAGGGAGGGAGGGGAGGGAAAGGGGAGGTACTGGGGATTGAAATTGTTCAAACTATGCTGTCTTATTGTATGCACCTATGAATATATTATAACAAATCCCACTGTTATGTATGTCTATAAAGCACCAATAACGGGCTGGGCTTATTGCTCAGTGGTAGAGTGCTCGCCTAGCACGTGCAAGGCCCTGGGTTCAATTCTCAGTACCACATAAAAATAAGTAAACAAAGGTATTGTGTCCAACTACAACTAAAAAATAAATATTTAAAAAAATAATAATGCACCAAAAAGAAGGAAAAAAATTCTAAAAAGAGCAATTCACTATAGCAAAGGAAAAACATTATGGATGTTATTGGCAATGAAATAGGGGAACAAAGGCACATAATCTTAGAAAAGGCTCAATATCACCAAGATATGTCCTTTCACATATATCAGTGAAACTCTACAATTCCCAAAACACCTGTGACTAATCAACAGAAACTACTTTCCCCAAACTGGTAAGTATAATAACTACCCACTAATGCTTAAAATCCTAGCAACTATAAAGTAACAGCTTGCCTAATATCCAAATACATATGCCTACTGAATGACTTTTTAAAAATATTTTTATATACTTGTAGATGTGCAGCATGCCTTTATTTATTTATTTATTTTTCACGTGGTGCTGAGGATCGAACCCAGTGCCTCACTTATACTAGGCAAGTGCTCTGCCACTGAGCTACAGCCCTAACCCCTGAAAGACTTTTTAAAAATATTTTATTGGTGCATTACAATTATACATAATAACAGAATTTATTGTGATATGTGTACATAAATATACCTTAATTTGATCAATTTCATTTCCCCAAAACCTCTCATTTCACACCCCTTCTCCCTTCCTGATGCCCTTCCTCGACTCTATTGTCCATTCTATTTTCATGAGGTTCAATAAGACTTTTAAATTACAATACTGATCACCCCCACGTATACATACATTTTTATTTATTTATTTTTAACTGCACTGGGTATTAATCTAAGGTGTACTTTGCCACTGAAGTACAGTCCTAGCCCTTAAAAAAATTATTTTTAAAAATTTGGGGGGGCTGGGGATGATGCTCAGTGGTAGAGTGCGTTCCCAGCACGTGCGAGACCCTGGGTTCGATCCTCTGTGACCACATAAAAGTAAATGAAATAAAGGTATTGTGTCCAACTACAACTAAAAAACAAAATATTAAAAAAAAATGGGGACAAAGTTTGGCTAAATTGCCCAGCGTGGCTTTGAACTTGAGGTTCTCCTGCCTCAACCTCCAGAGGAGCTGAGTTTACAGGCGTGCACAATGCCCAGCAGGACACTCTCCTACTAGAACAGAGATTAACAACAGATGGTGGGTAAGGAAGAGTCTCCAGTGGACCACCTGTGGATGAAACAGTGGCTAAAAGGCGGCAGGAACCACAACTCCTCAATTCATCAGGAAGGGACCAACTGTATACTTGGAAACAAGCATCTTATTCCCAGGTGGTCTGTGGAAAACAGCCAAATTATAAATTGGGATGGGGAACATAATACTTTCTTCATAAGAAAAATAAGCCAAAAAGTGGACTGACATTTTAATATATGAAAATTAAGAAAGGCAAAAGAAAAACAAAAAGCAGAAGCAAACACCTTCAATCACGTAATATAAACGGAAGGGCGGGTGTTGTGTGCGCGAGGGGGGCCGCTCCCTGGGCTGTGGGAAACAGCAGTGACCATGACAGCGAGGTGGAGGTGGACAGCGACGCTGACAAAGGGGTTCATCATAATGCACCGGAACGAAAACGCAGGGACCGCGTCAGACAGCTTTGCCATCCGCGGGGCTCGGTCCTCACTTCAAGGAGAGGGAGGCATCGCGGGTCCCCATCCTAGACGAAGGGCCCCCATCCTAGAGGAGGCGGCGGGGGGACACATATACACCTACGAAGGGAAACCACACGCACCAGCGGGACGTCGTGACCTCGGGCGGATCCAGGCTCCTGGGCAGCAGCAGGTCCGAGCACTGGAGAGGAGGAGAGGAAGGGCCCCTCTGCAGACCGCCCCTCCCCAGGCAGCAGCTCTACACCGAGGCCAAGGGCAGCTCCCGCGCGGCCTTGGCTGGATGGGGGCTTGGACTCTGCAGCTGCGAGGGGAGCCCCAAAGCATCAAGAAGCTCCCCAGGGCCACGCAAGGCAGGCCAGCAATGGAAACTGCCCCATCCTCCCCGGTCCAGCTTTAGACCCCTAGAACCACTTAAAACAGAGTCTCTGTCTAATTCTTGATTTTATGGAGAATCTCTTGGAAAACCACTCCCCTTCCCCTTCCCCATTTCCACTATACGTTAAACACACGTATTCCCTCGGGGACTCCCGGTCTCCCCCAGGCATTTTTAAAACCCCAACACCCCAACTTGGCAGCCTTTTCCCTGGAGGTCAGATGGACCTGCCCACCCCAGCAGCTCTCCAGCCTGGGGGGCCACATGCCTGGACGCCTGCCTCGACCAGCCTCTCCTCTCTGTCCCCCGCCTCTGCTGGACAGACTTTGAGAATCTGAACTGCTCCGCTTTGAGGAGTACTCAAAATTGCCCCTTCGATTTTCTTTTTTAAAAATTATTATTTTTTTTAGTTTTTTTTTAATTATTTAAAACAATTTTTTTTTTTAGTTGAGGTTGGACACAATACCTTTATTTTTTTATTTTTATGTGGTGCTGAGGCTCGAATCCAGCACTTTGCACATGCTAGGCCAGTGCTCTACTGCTGAGCCACAACCCCAGCCCCAGCCCCAGCCCCTTCTCTTTTCTAAGTTTTTTTTTCCCCCCTAAAAATCTATTTATCACACTTTAGGAAAGACCAGACCCTTGAAGAAGCTTGTGATACAAAAGGAAAATGGGGACAGACTTACAGAGTCCTTGGCCTGGTCCCACTCCTCCTCCTCTCAGCCAGCTGGGGAAGCCTGCAGTGCCAGCATTTTGGAGGGCCACATGACACTTGTGGTATATGTGGGAGATGGCACAGTGAAGTGGCAGCCACCAGGGAGTGGTAGGGGATACTTAATTGGGGGTGGGTAATGAAGGGTGTATACTCTGAAGTCTTAGTCTGTGTTTGATTCCATTCTGGAATCAAATAAGAAAGCATATTGGGGCTGGGGTTGTGGTTTAGTGGTAGAGCGCTTGCCTCACATGTGTGGAATACTGGGTTCGATCCTCAGCACCATTAAATAAATAAAGGTATTGTGTCCTTCTACAACTAAAAAGTTTTTTTAAAACAGCATATTGTAGGGCTTGGGGTTGTGGCTCAGTGGTACAGTGCTCACCTAGGGTGGGTGAGGCCCTGGTTTGATCCTCAGCACCACATAAAAATAAATAAAAATAAAAATAAAGGCACTGTGTTGACTTAAAAAAAAAAAACAACATATTGTACGTAATGCCAAAGAATTGTCTTGCAAGTTAAAGCTTCCCATTTACTATAATACTATAAATTAAAACTTTATTGTATGCCTGTAATCTCGGCTATCTGGGAGGCTGAGGCAGGAGGATTGTAAATTCAAGCCCAGTCTACACATCTTAGTGCAACCCTGTCGCAAGATAGAAAATAAGAAGGGCTGGGCATATAGTTCTGTGGTACAGTACCCCTGGGTTCAATTGCTAGTAACACACACACACACACACACACACACACACACACACACACAAAATTAATGCACAGACTAAACATGATTGAATACATGTTTTAAAAAAATGACCCAAACGTACAGATCTCAAGGTAAAATACTACAAAAATCCACAGACATAGTAGAGGAAATTGCCAAATAAAATGTAAGAGTTGAAGACCATAACAAGCAAAGAGTTACACATGAAAAAGCTTAATGGATACATTCCACTGCCACTTCCTGTAATTTGAACTTCACCTTAATGTACAGAGCCCCTGATTTTTCCCTAATGTCTAGAGGATGTATTGTGCATTTCCACCTCAACAAGATTGTTCTTATTTTTTGAACCCTCCTGGTTTCCAGTCTAAAATCCATCCCCAATCCACTAGCACCTCTTATCTAACACTGAAAAAAAAAGTAATTACTTTAAAACTGATCACACCCTGATGTTGAGCTTAAATGTGAACCACAGTGCTCACTTTGGCAGCACGTATACTAAAATTGGAAAGATACAGAGAAGATTGGAATGGCCCCCACACAAGGATGACATGCAAATTCGTGAAGTGTTCCATATTTTAAAAAAAATGTGAACCACAGCTCCTTGATTTTTTCATAGCACCACCTCCTCTACATTCTCAAAGAATATTACATATGTCTCCACGACTTTCTACCCGAACGCTGATTACACTTCATCTTCTCCACTGAAGTAGAAGACAAGTTTGGCATGAGCCCTGGAGCCAGGAACCTGGGGGTCTGAGGCCCTGTTCCACTATTCAGGCAAATTACTTTTCTATGCTCCACTTTTTTCAACTGTTAAGTGGAGATGAGGATGACCATAACTAGTCCATCGGATTCTGGTGACGGATAAATGAGTTAATATGCAGGAAGCATTTAGAAGAATGCTGGCTAGGGATCATTCAGTAAGCAGCATCTGCTGTTAAATAATTATTGGATCTATGTCTTCATGGAATACCTCTTCTGTGGCTGATAAAGAAGAAATACTTAATTCTCAGATATTTGACCTGCACAACCCTGGGAACTGGCAGAGCGAGGCATCTTACTCATGTTCAGAAATAAAAAAAAAGAAGAGCTCAGAAGTTGGCTCTATTATGCACACTCAGGTGGAAGCCAGGGGTCCGGGCCTCGTCCTGCCCTGCTCAATGGAGTTTGCCTGAGCCATGGCCAGTGGGAGAGGCCCAGGTCGGCCACCACAGCCCAAACCACTCACCAAACCACTTACCAAGCGCCAGCAGCGGCCCTGCCCACGCCTGGCCATGCTTGAGTTCCTTTGTGCTATTTATGACATCACTGAAGAGGAACCTTGAAAAAGCTGACACAGTGACCACAGGACCTGAGGAGGCAACGGTCTGCCCCCACCTCAGGAATGAGTGTGTGCGAGACAAGGGACAAGGGAAGGGAGGGCAAGGAGAGCATCCCGAATGCTTCCGTTTGGAATTCCTTTAATACTCACTGAAGGTTCCAAGGGAGAGAAACTGAAGGGAAAGTGCTTAGTGAAAAATCACAGAGTAAAGATAGGAAAAGTAGCCAAAGGTTCACGGACAGTAGTCACCTGTGGGACAAGACAGGGACGACTACCTGAGATTCTAATGACCACCACAGTTACGAATATTTTTGGGGGGGCAGTACTGGGGATTAAACCCAGGGGCACTCTTCCACTGAGCAACATCCCCAGTCACCCCCCTCCTTTTTTTGAGACCAGGTCTTGCTAAATTGCTGTGACTGGTGTCAAACTTGAGACCCTCCTGTCTAGCCACCCGAGTCACTGGGATTACAGGCATGTACCATCATACCCAGTTCCCAAGTTATGAATCTTGACAGAGGTTCCCGAGATACTTAAATTATTGTTATTATTCTTACCAAACTTTCAATTTATTCTTTTGAGAATGTACTTCATGATGAAAAACTTTAAAAAAGAAATTTTGGAAAGAACATACTAATATTTGTTTTGTTTTTCTTCCTTGTGACATAGCAATTTGAGTCACAATTCACTGGCTGGGTGACAATAAACAGATTCCTGGGGCTGGGGATGTGGCTCAAGCGGTAGCGCGCTCGCCTGGCATGCGTCCGCCGAGAACTAAAAAATAAATATTAAAAATTCTCTCCCTCTCTCTCTCTCTCTCTCTCTCTCTCTCTCCCTCCCTCCCTCTCACTCTCTCTTTGAAAAACAAAACAAAACAAAACAAAACAAAAAACCAGATTCCTATAGATTGCAAAAAGAGATCTCCTTACATCCAGTAAACAGGTCTCCATGCATGCTGGTCATCAGCAGGAAAACAGGTTAGCAAGTCATGGCAAATAAAAACAGACCCAGAAAATGGTCAACATGTAAAATCCTGCATATAGTGCAAACTGCTTTGGTCACCTTCAAAGGATTGTTTCTGATGTTGAATACTGGTAAGGGTACAGCATACAAAAACTCAGAAGACATGCAAAAATCATCACTCACATAATCATAACTCACATAAAGAATCATAACTCACAAAGATCAGGGAGGGAAGAGCAGGTCTCTCAAGCTGTGAGCAGGGATCTTGAGAAAGCAAAGGACCCAAGCCCGAGGGTTTACAAAGGCAATCTATGGTGAAAATTCACTCCCACTTCCCTAGGCAGAGGATTGGGTGGTTTCAGTCTGGCTAGCTCCAAAGGAGGGAGCCTCAGGTTTTTGGTCACATTACCCTGATGTGTGGCACAAAAGGAAGGAGCATTGAGGGTTAAAGAGTGTCAATGAATATCAAGAATGGGAAGAGGGGTAGGGCTGTGGGGCTGTGGGGATGGGAAGGATAGCAGAATGAGACAGACATTATTACCCTATATACATGTATGATTACACTACTGATGTGACTCTACAGCCAGAGGAATGAGAAGTTGTGCTCCATTTGTGTACATTGTGTCAAAATGCATTCTACTGTCATTCAAACTAATTAAATTTTTAAAAATCATATTTAAAAAGTCAAGCTATGACACACATATTCCACAACACAAAAATTAGACATTATGAATAGCAAAAATCACACAAACATTGCTTATGGATGAAGATGAATAAACATTCAACAAAAGAAATTTCAATGAACAGAATAATCCATCAAAACCAAGCGCTAATTATCCTAAGTATGAAACAATGATAAAACATTTAAAAGTGCTAAGCAACAAACTCTTAAGATCAAAACAAGAGATGCAGAGATGCAAGACAAGAAAGAATAAGAACAAGAAAGAACAAGAAAGAATAAGATACTGAGCCAGACATGGTATCACAGAACTGTAATATCAGTTACTGAGGAGGCTGAGGCACAGGATGGCAAATTGAAGGCCAGCCTGGGTAACTTAGACCCTATCTCAGCATACAAATTTTAAAAATGACTGGATTGTACATACACAAGGGCCATGGTTCAATTCCCAATATTGCAAACAAGACATTGAAATTAAAAAGAAACAAAAAAGGTCTTTGTTCACAAACAAGATTACTGTTTTCTTAAAAAAAAAAAATTCCAAAGACCCCTGTGTGGTGACCCACATCTGTAAACCTTGGGAGGGTGAGGCAGGAGGATCACAAATCCAAGGACAGTCTTGGCAGCTTAGCAAGACCCTGTCTCAAAAACGGCTCAGAGTGTAGCTCCGTGGTAAAGCATCTCTGGGTTCAATCCCTAGTCCCTCAAAAAAACAAACAAACAAAAACAAAAAACAAAGAACCAAAGAAAAACTTCATGGATTTAATAGGGGATCATAGCAAGGTAGTACAGTAGGTAAATATGTAAAAAATCCATCATTTTTCTATATAGCAACTATAAAAAAATTCAATTTCAATTTTAAAAATATACAGCACAAGGAGAAAGATAAACTATTTCACATACATGAAAAACTGCATAAGAAAAATGCTCCCTTCCAGAGGCAATCAATACAGAACCATACAGAGTAGATGTTTATTGCTAGATGGGCAAGAAGAATAAATAAATTAGATCTTTCTAAGTGTTGGCAAGTCACACAATAAAATACGCATCCAAGAAGTCACAAGATAAATTCATAAACCTATTAAGATTTCCGACCATATTTGAATTTGTCCACCATCTACACACTAGTAAAATCCTTCCCATTCTGTTGGAAAATTTATCATGTATTAGCCCTTGGAGGTAAAACCAGGCTCACGGTCAGCACCCCCGTTCCCCAACAGTTAGAAAATTCAGGGTAAGCAGGACCACCCCGAGGGGAAAGGAAGGACTGGGGACCCCGCGCTCCCAGCTCTTCCAAGCTCGAACCCAGACGCACACAGTCACCCCACAGCTCGGGGAGGAGCCGGGCTGCGGGCTGAGCTGCCCGGAGAAGCTGGCCTTGCGGGACAGAACAGGACGCCCCGGGCCCGATGCAGGCCCAGCACCACCCTGCGGACCCAAGGGCCTTCAGACTGGCCCCCACCCTGCAGAGCCAAGGCTCCGCCCTCAGCCGCTCCCCGCGGGCTCCGAGCAGACCCTCTCCCAGCTGGGGGTGCCCCACCTCCAACACTCACCACGTCACGGCTCCCGGGGTCTCCCATTGTCCCCGCAGTTAGTGGACGTCACAGAGCAGCCGAGACTCGCAAGGCAGCACAGCAGGGGACCTAGTCCCGAGGCTACAGAAACAGGATCGCGAAAGGGACAGGCGAGCAGCCGCATCCCCGCCCAGCTGCGCTCCTGATTGGACAGTGCATACATCACCCCTATGCCTCTGATTGGCTAGTGATCCAGGACCCGCCCCCTGAGGCCTGAGCGACAGCAAAAAAAAAAAAAAAAAAAAAAAAAATCCAGGCCTGGACCTGACCTGTCCTTAGGGGAAACTGCATTTCAGCAGAATCTGATACTATTTTTTCAAAACTGACACTTTCTTCTCACTGTACCCAGTGGGCTCTTCCTGTTCCTTCCCCATGAAAATGGCAAATTGAAGGGTGACAAGTGTGACGTTTCAGAGCACAGCCTCATGAAGACAACCCCGACGTGAGAGAAGGCTATCTGCCCACACCTGGGCACATGGAATAGAAGGAAGGGCCTTGTGTTACCAGAAGCCAGAAATTTGTGACTATGAAGTTGGCTGAATTGTCAAGTTTTTCTTGCACCTTTTTTTTCTCAATCTATTAATTTTCACCCAAGAAAAGAATAACATGCCAACAAGGAAATATAATTCTTTACTCGTGGAGAAACTGGAGTTATATGGCAGCAATATTCTACAAAGAAATCAAGTTGGAAGAAAGCAAACGGTTGAACTCCTTCGGACAGGCTGCCCGCCTCAACCAAGCTCACACGGAAAAACACACGTTCAGAAGGTTAAACATATTCCCAAGGTGGAGGCCCAAAGTGACTGCGGAGATAGAGCCCCAGAGCGGATCACTCGCTGGCACTGAGGAAGGGAAACCGACAGATTTAAATCTGAGAACTCATCATGTCCTGCTGTCTGTCTTCACAGTGTGAAAACTCTCCCGCCTTCAGACAGACTCGCTCACCAGGAGTCACTTTAACATTCTGAACTACAGAAACTGTCAACTTCACACACTCTTTCTCTAAGCCCGATACCCACACATTTCCTTCATGTATGCGTTATTGGTTGAATCCAGCAAATTTATGGAGGCCATAAGGAAAACGTATCTAGGGGCTGGGGATATAGCTCAGTTGGTAGAGTGCTTGCCTCACATGCACAAGGCCCTGGGTTCAAGCCCCAGCACCACCAAAAAGAAAAAAAAAGAAACCCTGTCTAGAAAACAGCTCCAAGAAAACCAGAGTGACAACCCCAGAAGGGACAAAAATCCCTGAAGACCATCTGCATGTGGATGTACTTTCCAGCTTCCATCATCTCCCCTCCTCAAGTTGTTCTCACAGCTGGAGGATCCTACAGGGGAGGGCGAGTGCCCAGGAAGTCCCAGAGGAACTTCAGGACCCTTCTTTTGCAGGCCAAGACTGTCCTCAGCTTGGACTCAGGGGTCTCACGCCTGTTTCCCACTGCAGATTATCACCTGCTTCGAACCAAGCTTCCCCAAGCCCCTGACATGCATAGCTCCTGTAGACACCTGCACCTTCCTCTTCACACCTCTGACCACTCTGTCATCCCTGGATACAGGACAGCTTCCCAAACTGCACCATGAGAAGCTTAGTCACTGCTGATTCTCGGCACATGGAATATTTCTGTACCAAATAACCATGAAACACCCATTTGTTCGTCCCATGAGGACGTAAAAGAGGACAAGACGCTGTGAGAACTTAGAGTAAGGGAGTGTGAAACTGACAAGGTTCATGGAAGAGGAGGTATTCAAGCTTTGGGATTTTGAAGGACAAAGAGGAATGTCCCAGGCGCACCTGTCATCACGGACTGTGTGTCAGGGGATTGACGTGATCTGTCTCATGACTTGAAACTGTCTCTCAAATGCAACCCAACCACCATGGACCTGTCCAGTCATTTTTAGAACAATGCCTACACATCCCACACAAAAGGACAAACCAGCCCCTACTGAGTCTCCCTGAGGTTCTAGCTTTCCAATTTAACAACCCGTTTGAAATGGTCTTATAGGATACATGGTGATATCTTGGGCCATTTGCTTTGCTGCTCTTCTCCACAACTTGACACACCACTTGCTCACTGATAGTGTACATCAAATATTGCACTACTGGGTCTTAGTCTAGGGATTCCGATCCAAGGGATTCTGATCTAAAACCCTTTGAATCTTTGGGGTGAGAAGACTTGTGTTTTCTATGCCAATGAGATGACTGTTGGCTGGGGACTCCTGTGTGGCTTCAGGATTGGGAATGTTCTGGTAGCAGAAAGAATAAGGCAAGCTTAAAGGGTTGAGATTTTAAACAACAACTCTTTTCATTTGTAACTGACAACAGGGTTGGAATGCCGAGCTCCATCGTCCAGGGAGCAGGGTTGGAAGCCAGTTAACTACGAAGCCCAGTAAGCTAATCAATCCCGAGAACATACGGGAAACCTTCATGAAAACCCCTGAGCCATGGGTTATGCAGAGCATCTGGGCTGTGGACGCTGACCACACAGAGGGTGGGATATCAGAGGCAGGACCAGCAGATGGAAATGAAATGAAGGCTCCACACATGTCCCCTTCCCCCAAACCTTGCCCTATACACTTTTTGCATTTGGCTGTTCCTGAGTTGTCTTTTTATCATAAACAAGTAGTAGTAAGTAAAGTGTCCCCCTGAGTTCAGTGAGTCATTCTAGCAATTATCTAACATGTAGGGAGGGGGAGATGTGGGAACTTGATATTTTAGTCCAGTTGGGTAGATATACGAGTACACTGCACACCCAACTGGTTGACTGGATGTGTGTTAGAATTCCGTGGGAATCCCAAACGGGAGTCAACTCACTCAAATATCCACAAATATGTTTACACAACACAATACCACACTGCTGCTTTCTGCAGGTATGAAAACTACCTAGGATTTCCCCTGTTGTAGGAACAACTCGGAAGACACGTATTTCTCACCCTTCTGGAGCCTGAGAAGGCCAAGATCTAGGTGATCTTCTCTAGTTTCTAGTGAAGGCCATTTTCATGGCTTGCACATGTAAAACTTTGTGCCGTACACTCCCGTGGCAGAGAGAATGATCTCCCTCTATACATCTTAGGTTGCTCACCATAATCTGAGGGCCCATCTTAGAACTTCATGTAACCCTTATTATGTCTGGAAGCCCTCAACTCCACGGTGACGTTGCCATGTAGGACTTCAAAGAACAAACTAAAAAGGGAATAAATTTGAAACAGAGAATGCATGAATAGAAGCAAGTTCATAGAGGCATTACATATGCTAGAAGTTTGGACTAATAATTAATTAGGAGATGGTGAGCAAAGTCCAACAAAGGAGAGAGGTGCCATTTTAGAATGTTCAGAGAGAAGGGGTACTGTGTTTGCATAAAGGAAAAAAAAAGACCTATTGCTATGAACACGACATGGCAATCCATTCTAACTATGTAAATCCAAACCAGGAAGGTCGTAGCAACGGACAGGAAACAGGCCGACCTGGTTAACAATGCAGTCTTCTCACTGGAAGGTACAAGGCATTCACTGTGTCACGACGGAACTCCCCTCCCGTTCCCATCCTTACAATCATGTTCACAGAAGGAGAAAAATGCTCATCCTGGAACTGCAGAGACTGACTGGTGCATTAGGCATCTTATGCATTAGGCATCTCTCCACAGTCGTGTGCCGTCTTCTAGGTGAGGACTCTGGTGATCACACAGACAGAACGGTGTTCCCCCCCTCAGTGCATCCCTCAGAGGACAACGTCTGACTACACAATGCAATCAGCACCCCCTCCAGGAACACCCAGTCCTGTTGGAAATTCTAGAAGGAGAATGGTGATACCGATGAGCCACAGATCCAGTTATGGTGTAAGGACAGATGTATCATGTGACAAAAGCCGTAGTCCTGGTGGTCTCTGGCAAAGAGCATCTCACATCAGCAGGATGAAGTTTTTGGAATGAGGAGTGAAGGACAGATATGATCAAAATAAGCCCTCTACCTGAGAAAAGCAAAGCTGACATGAAGATAAAAACACCTTCCGTTGTAAACATATTGCTATGGTTTGGACCTGCAACTTTCCCCAAAGTCTCAGGTGCTGAGGGGACTTGGTTGGAAGAAGTGGGTCGGGGGGCAAGCCCTGGAAAATGTACCTTCTCTCTGTCCCCTTCCCTCACCCCTGCTCTGCATCCCAGCTGCCTGAGCTGAGCATCTTCCCTCTGCTGGCCCTTCCACCCTGTTCCTGCTGGGAGACAGCCATGCAGACCAATTCCTCTGGAATCATGAACCAAGAGCTTCCTTCGCTAAGTCGTTCCTGTCAGGTATTTTGGTCACAGTCATGAAAAGCTGACTAATCTACACATGGATTCCATAATTATGATGGGCTGTTTGCTTGTATCTTCTCAGTAAATGCAAAAGACACTGCAGAGCTTTCTGAGTGCATTTCGCCCTGTTCTTTGGTTAATTCCAGTTCCCATCCTTACGATCATGTTAAGTTGCTCTCATTTAAAAATTTATTGTTCAGTAATTTTACATGAGAATATAACTAATTGAAAGGAAACAATGCATGCTTAAAACATTGATTTTGTTCCAATTTTATATTTCTGTGTACCCATCTTAAAATGCTGTAGTATTTCCTTCACTTACTATTTTAATTTCAGTCTGCCATTGCATTTCTACCAATATTAAATGCATAATTCAGTTGAAAAAAAATGATGTTTTCTGTAAGCTCCATGGTAACCATGAAACAAAAAACTGGAATAGACAAACCAAAAAACAATAAGCCAAATGAAAACAGTAACCCAGGCACAGTAGCCCACGTCTGTAATCCCAGCAGCTCGGAGGCTAAGGCAGGAGGAGCGCGAGTTCAAAGCCATCCTCAGCAAAAGTGAGGCACTAAGCAACTCAGTGGGACCCCGTCTCTCAATAAAATACAAAATAGGAAATAGGGCTGGGGGTGTGGTTCAGTGGTCCAGTGCCCCTCAGTTCAATGCCCAGTACCCTCCCGCACCAAAAATGGAAATAGTACTATGCCAATTCATTTAGACATTAAGTAAGATCACAAGAGGGGGAAAGGAGCTACTGCAAAATTACAAAACAAGCTAC